AAGGTTCGCTGCATTTCTAAATGGCCGACTAGCCAAATTTGGGGTTCAGTTTTGCTGTAACCAAACAAGCAATTTTTTGAAAATCAAGACTAATACTTTCCTCCACAGCGCCCCAAGTCTTTCCTGAAGAAGAGAGAAGACATAATGCTCGGGATAGAATATTTGTATTTGACTGACAGAAGCTATTACGGCTACAGGCATGGCCGGAAGGCCAGCCCACCCGGCAAGGTACAATGGCCAAGTCAAAATGGCTCTTTGCCAAAACCAACAGCCAACATTTCGCATCCTCTCTTGAGTATTTTGACATTCATGATCCTATGAGTATGAAAAACCATTTAATCACTATCATGGTTGGGAGAAGTGCCAACAAAACAGGGAATCTTGGAATACGGTTGGCCACAGCAGCCCACTCAGACCGACCCAAATGCCCATTTAGTCATCCAAAAGTCCTGCCATATAAAGGCAATGAAACATGATTGATGGGTTGACAAACAAAACATTCTTTATGCATTAAATCTCCGCGTTCCAACCAGTCTGGGCTACCAAGGCGAAAATGGTTGCCTTAAGGTGGTGCATTCAAAGTCGTTCATGTCGAACCCGGGACTCGATATTCTGCCCCTTTTCCTAGCCAAACTAGTCCAATCTTACCAAGCAAAGTTGGACTCAACTATCGCCTTTTAGCTTGCTTTTATAACCACAAATTTATACTTAACAATAAAAAGGAGGATCTTGAGACAAAGTTTACCTGTTTTTGGGCATCTTAGGCTAAGGGGACTGACTGACCCAAATGCTCATTTCGGTAGTTGAGGTCGCAGCCACGTAGTCGAGTAAACATAAACTGACGTTAATAAATCCGTGTATTTTTTATTGAGCCTCTTTTTTAAGCATTTTGGGTTACCAGGACGAAACTATTTAACTATGGGCGGTGTTTACGAGGGTGTTTATGTCGCCCCGAAACCCGCTATTCTGCCTCGTTCCTTAGGTAAATTACGGAAATTAACACAAAATTTGTAGGCTCCAGCTACAATTTTTTAGTTTTTTTTTAACTTTCATACACTTCTGGATGTTGGAATACAAAATATCCGCTCTTCACTATCCCGTGCTAATAAGACTTACCCAAATGCACACATCATTAGCTGAAAGTGTTGCCACAAAATGCCAGTTAAACACAACCTGTAAACATATTATTTATTTTATAGTATTAGATCGTAGCGGTGAAATATCCCAAATCACAAGGGCTAAAATATTTGGACCAAAACGGAGTTTCGAGGATGTTTACGTCAAACAGGGATTTATTATTTAAGATTCCTTACCCTACCACAAAAAAGTGAGTTCTAGCCGCACCTTTTCCACTACTTTTATAAGATCTACGCATTTTGTAATTTTTACAATGTGCTGCACATTTCTAGTTAAGATGGGAAGCATCAGTGTTAGTGAAGGGCGCCCGCGGCAGCCCAAGATGGTAGACGTAGTTGCCTTCCTAGTCACGACCTTAAATTCAGGTCCTTCAGGTATCAAATTGCACCTACAGGAGGCTCCAGCACGGTGCTCATCCACTCATCGGTAGTGGATGTGAATGGTGAAAATCTTCTCTAGACTGTCGTACAATGTGCATCTGTCCACCTGCTGGTGGAGGTCAGGGATGTGGTGATTCCGCCTCCCCGGGTTCCACGGCCTCTTCGCTTATTCGGTCCTGTGAACATTTTAGCCACCTTGATCGACGAACTCCTGACGCTTCATCAACGCATAATCGATTCGTTCCGAGGATGTACAAGGGAGAAAACCCTCTGCATAAGCGGTGGACAGGCCAAAATAATTCTGGCTCAGTGTTTATGCCCTCAGAACGACCAAATTTGAAAGGACTGCAGACAGGGATGAGGCAATTTACATTCACAGACCTGTAGCAACACCTTAATAGCAAAGGAAAAAAAGGGCCAGGCCGACCATCCGCTCCGCTGAAGGCACGATCGCAAGACTGGAACGCGATTCGAACGGACCAGATGGAATTAATCCCTTTCTGTCCGACAAAATGAAGTATTTCAGCCTCTGGCTTCTGTTTGTCAAAAGTGACCTACGACAGTGCTCTATGCAACTAGACCGGGCCACACACCAAAACCAGTCCACTTTTCCGTATGGTAGAGCTCATTTCCGGATGACCTCCCGGCCAAATTAGAGGGTTCAGCTTAGTTGACGTAGAACTAAAAAAGTAATCTTTTATAAAAAAAAATTAATATGCTTACTTTTCCTTATTTTCTTTTGTGGGATTCTACAAGTACAAGGAAGCACTGCAACGGTAGCATGGTTGAGGAGGATCTTGGATTACGACCGATCTGCTTTTGGCCACTCCGGGCTAACAAGACTGACCCAAATGCTGATCGAGTCATCAACAAAAAACTGCTACCTAAATTTACTTACCCATAGACAACTAGCAGATAGTTCACCTTTAGGCACCGAATCCCATTGTTTAGGCCAATCTTGGTTACTAAGGCAGAACTATTTGAGTAAAGGGGTAGGAATTTTAAAACGTTTACATCAATTCGGGATTTTATGATCTGCTCTGTTTTTGAACATATTATCGTAACCAAACCATGCACACCAGTAGGCTCTAACTAAATTCTTGCTTCTTTTAGTAACTTTAACAGATAATTTTTTCTGTTTTACAAAAAATGAGGGTTTTGAATCTTGATTAAACTGTTTTTGGTCAATTCGCCAGCCTAAACCATTGACACCTAAAATCAGGTAAATATAGCACACAAGTTTATTTTTACCAACATCTCTTCTTATTTTAACAATTTCTGCCCTTTAAGAGAAAAATTATTTGAGCAAATGGAGTAGATACGAAGGTGTTCATACTAGACGTGGACTTGGTATTCGTCTGGTTTCCTAAAGTAATTTACCGCAGCACTGTCCTGGTAACTAGTGAAATTGAGCGTCATTTTTCACATTTTCTTTGTAAATTTGACATGTTTTTGTTTACGAGAAAGAGAATGCTGCTGGACTGCAGCTGAACCGATTGTGGCCGCACCGGTCTACGACTGACTGACCCAAATGTCCATTTTGCCATCTGCAACCACTGACACATGAGGTCAGTTAAACGTAACCTGTCAACAACTAAGGCATTAAGTTTGTCAGTTTAAACAATTCTCAATTACGAGAGCGAAACTGTTTGATTGACTTGTGTAGTTATTAGGGTGTCTACGTCTAACCGGGACTCGAAGTGCTCCCTTATTTCCTGGGCAAATTATTTCACCCCTATTATGTGAGATTTTAAATTTAAACCATCCATTGATTCACTACGTTTCATCAACTTCAAACATGGTAGTTTTATATAAAAAGGGGAAAATTTAATTGCGATTTGTTCGTTTTTGGTCATCCTGGGCTAATCAGACTGACCCAAATGCACATTTTTTACCTAAAAATACTGGCACACGAAGTCAATCAGGCACAACTGGTCAACAGCCTAGTTTATTTTTGTACACCTTATTAAACTTTAAATCACTTTAATGGAACTGTTCCGGGTTGCTGAAGAGCGTCTCCTTGAGTAAAAGCGGAAATTCTGCAAATGTTCATGCCGACCCGGGACTTATCTTCTGGGCACTGTAACTCTACCACACGCAATAGTAAGGCATGTCTACATCTTATTCACTACTTTTATAGCTTTCACACATTATGTATACTGTAACCCGTCTAAAAATTCTTGTCAAAATGGAAATTAACAGTATCAGGGGTCGCACGCATACTATAAGTTGAGGTCACCGTCCCGGTTACGATCTCTAACTCCGATTCTGCGTTTATCCACTCGCAGCTACAAAAGGCTTTAAGCACAGCACTCATCAAGTCATCAGCAGTGCAGCTGACTGGTGTAAACTTTCTTCGGACTGTCCTACGTCGTGCGCCTGTCCATCTGTCGGTGGGGATCGTGGATGTGATGATTTGGCACCTCCAGTTTCACAACCTCGGCAATTTACCAGCCCTGTGAATACTTGATCCACCTCAAAGGACTAAATTTGAGCGTTTTCTCAAAGCACAATCAATCCGTCGTGAGTATAGACGAGGGAGAAATTTTCCTGGGCAATAGGGAGACACTCCGACATACATCGCCCCGCGGGGCACCGCAGCACCTTTAAGCAAAAAAGGAAGTCATCCTAGAATAGACCACTTGTACTGATAAATCTCTACATGTCACATTTTTCAGATATTTGTAAAAATTTTCTCCCACAGTTGCACTGAACCAGCAGGAGACTTTGCTGTCTGGGAAAGACATACACTCCGGCCTTCGGCTCGCCCACTCTCTCTGTCTCTCTCTCCCTCACTTTTACCCAGTAAAAGTTACGGCTTCATTTTAAACAAGTAAAACCGCTTATATTACACTGTGTCAGCGAAAAAATGATTTAAAAATGATCGCTTTGATGTTTTGATAGAGTTTAAGGTTGGAGACTCCAAGCGGGGTGAAGTCGGGCAACGGCGAGGTGGAGTTAGCTGATGGCTCAGCAGCGCGGTCTGGAGATTTTTCTAATTTAAAAATGCCTCAAAACTGTATTTTAAAACACTAACTATTCCGAAGGGGTAAAGTAACAGCATCATTTTTTGGCAGTGCGTTTCCCACCAGAGCTCCATGAAGTGGTTCCACTTCTTGCCACAACCCACCGATGGGGTACAAAACTTCAAGACCATCTAGTGGTATCCTACATGGCCTGTTCTTGCCTACATGGAGCTTGTTGGAGGCTGCTCCATTAAGCATCTGTCCGGCTCTTCAGTCCCTACGGCTTTGATTTTTTTATCATTACAAAATGGAGGGGACTCTCAAGAAAAAGACGTGTTCTGATCCCTGTAGACCCGAATCTGGAGGTGGGAGGAAGAAGCGCTGAACCCTTTACAACTTCATGTTGCGCAGCGTTGTCAGGGAGGGCGGAGGCGCTTCATGTCACTTTGCCCTCCTCAGTCGCCGACGCACACGCAATTGAAGGTCTCGTAGGTCTACACGAGGAACCACGGCGACAGTTGTTGATGCCGTCTAACGGTGACAATTAAAGTAAGACAGATAAATTGGTTCCTTTCCTGCCTTAACAATCTCGTACATATTAGGCGTATGCCATCCAAACCACGCCCTGCCGGGATCAGTCTTCCCTCAGGGATGGACAGAAAAAAAAGTGGAAATTTTTGTCCACATTCGGGTGACTGCTTCTGCAGATGGTTCATTTTATCCTCCATCCAGGGCAAACGCGAGTGGGGGGAGGGAAGGGGTAAGGACCGGACGCTCGGTCAGTTATCGCCCATTGCTGCGTTATTTATGCTCGACGGTTGGAGTTCGCGTTGCGAGGACGCGCGGTCTTTAGTCCACACCGAAGGCAACGCACAACGGGAACACACACACCCACGAGGGCAATGTGAGGTTTCAAAAAATTAGGGGGAAATGATCAAAGAAGGCAGAAATTAGACGATCTCTGGACACAGAAGTGCGGCGACCATTCGCTAACCTTGTTGGATGACAGTGTGAGGGGGTGGAGTGCATGGCGGACGGAAAAGCTGTTGGCCAAAGAAACTGTTACTGACGATGAACTACACAAGCGTCGAGGCTTTACGATTTTGAAGGCTCTTAAGGCTTAGTCATGAGGAATGGAGAACCACTTGTCGCCTTCGGAACGGTTGAATCCACTCTGGAAGGCTTGCAAATCTTAGGCACGAAGAATGGGAAAATAATTCTGGCATGAAAACGTCGGTTTCAGACGTGAAGAATGAAGAATGAAAAACCAGTCGTCGTCACTGAAATGTTGATTACGGCCTGCAAGAGTCTCTACTCTAGATCATGAGGAATGGAACTTTTGGTCATGAAGGACGGAGAACCACTTGCCTCCTTCAGGATGTTGATTCCGGTCTGGATGATCCCTGACTGTTAGCCATAAAGAATAGAGAACCTTTTGACGCCACTGGAAGGCTAACTTTATTTTGTAAGGCTCTTGAATCTTCGTCATGAAGGATGGAATACCACTTGCTGTTGCCGAAATGTTGCTTCCGGCCTGGAAGACTGTCAACTGCTGACAATTCTCGGATTGTTGGCCACAGCCCTTCCTTGGGACCGGACTATCACTTGGGAACTCAGCAGCTGTACAGAAAAACTGAGATGGGAGCGGCACTGCGGGGCTTTACTTGACGAATTCGCGTCTTATTGGGGGAAAGAGGATATCCTGTAAGGGTGCTTATTCCCTCTGGGAATCGGTGTCTGCAACCCCTTGAAAAGCACTCCCGTTTCGATGTTCCTAAGGCATCCATTTCCGTATCCAATGTTTGGCTGCTTTCAAATGTCGCGCCCTCCTCCGCTATCTCCCTTCTGATTGGCTAATATCAAGTACAGAGGTACCATAAGTGCGCTTATAATCATTACAAGATCTAGGGCACCTCAAATACTAAAAATAGACGAGATTGTAGCCGCCGCGGTGCCTCTACCACCCTCCTCCACCGGCGGTCTTCAGCCGGCCATCACGCATCCGCGGGTGGTCCTCCCTTGGCTTGCGCCGAAGCGTAGAAACACCTCCATTTGGCGTCCCGTCTATTCCATCGATTGCTGCGGTAAAGAATCTTGACGACCTCCAAGCCCAGATACACCCATAAGCTCCACCTCGTAACAGCTCTACGGTTTACATAAGAACAAGATGATTGAAGAGCTCATTTTTTCAATTATGAAATAAAAGTTATAAAGTCGGCAGAGCTTTTTACGAGTAACTTTTTGGGAATTTGAGTGAACCCGTGGCTGAAAATAGCAACGTATTTAAAATTTCGAAGGTCATTGGGGCATCCGAGGCAAGCCGTTGTTCTTCTAGGCTAAAATTTTTTGCCTGAAAGGCACCTCAAATTGAGGGCATTTTTGTCTACGTGGATGACCTTCTCTTGAAGCGATTATGTAACCGACAATTGCACCGAATAAAGAGAGGCGATTTTGTTTTGATGAAAACACACCTCCCCAGAATGCATTGGCTCAGCCTATTCGAAAAATAAGGAGAATTCCGAGATTTTAGTGATATCGGGTCGCCTGGCAACAATGGGAATGGGTATCCGTAATAGCGGCGCCTAATTTACGCATCCTTTTTCTCCTTTTTTGGCGGGCTTTGAGACAATCATGGGAAACTTGATGGGTTGTTGATGATGCCATCGATGCATCCGCTGGAGGTGGCGGCCAACGATAGGCCCGACCTCGTACTCCTGACCCAGGACAGAAAAAAGCCATTTCTTCTAAAACTTGCACCCACGCGTCAGCTAGTCTAGCAGAGCGCCTTTCTCATCCATCGGCAACTTTAAGCACCCACAACTTTTGTAACTTGGGGAAATAACTACTGAAAACCTTTATTTAGTAGTACAGTCTCACATGTCGTGAAGAGTTAATTTCACACTAGCACGTAATAAAAGAAAAGAGGAAGGCAATAACAGGAAAGAGCGACCTTGCGAAAGCGTTCCTTGGGAGTTAAGAGGGTTGATAAGCCAAAATTCCATCGCAAAGGATGCACTGGCTTTGCATAGTTACCCTCGAACGGGTACATTTTACATACCAGTCGCAGTTTGCGGGAATATTTGCCCAGGGGCTAATATAAGTACATAAAGTGGCTTTGTGGGGCTACATTTCTGCATTTACTCTACCTTTTCTTCCTATTTTCCACGCAGTCATCATCAGAAGTGTGTCCGATGCATAGTTCTTCCCACAGTTTGTACTTTTGAATTACAGAGGCTTTCGACTGCACTTCTCCGCAACGTGACTCAAACCACCCTCCTGTTGCGGATCTCCGGGGCTTTAGCCAACCACCCATCCGACGCCTTCGGTTTGGACCAGCTTCGTCCACCGCAGCGTTCAATGTTTGGGTCCCCACCAAGGGGCATGGAGGGCACTACTGACAGAAACGATACCAACAAATTTGGCTTTTAAGCTCATCCCAAATAAGTAATTGCCCACAATTTGTATCTGTTAGGGAAAAGTGGATTTAATTAAGGATGTCAAGAGTGGACTAACTAAGCTTTTCCTAATTAGATGAAATGATTTCGAAAACGGGGATTTCAGCCCCACGACTAAAGCGCTCAAACACGGCGACGCCAAATCTCAAACCCATTTTCGGCGGGTGACATAAATTTTGAATCGTACCGCTTCTTTTTCGTTTAGTAAAAGAAAAGCGTGTTCCAGCCTTGACTTTTCACTTAGGTCAGATCCCTTTATGCCGCAAGTGATTAGCTAAGACGTTGTACTTGCAAAAATTGACAGGAAAAGGTTCAGTCGTCAGTTGTTAACGCAATCGTCGAGGTGGCTAGGGAACATCAGAATTGTGTTGCTGTCGGCAAATTGGAGCTTTTACGAATGGAAGTGAAAACGATGTCATGTGGTAGACTCTTGGGTGGAAATAGTAAATAATTACCCCCTTTTTAGAAAATCATAGTATCTTGCTTTATCTAGTACAAATAACATTATGGCAATGATAAAAGTCAAATAAAATATTGCTACTTTAGGTCCACATATATACGATAATGATGGATTATAAAAAATTGTGTTTAATTACTTACTTGTTTGTGCAGATTATATACTGTTTAAATACGCAAATTAAACAGTCTAGGAGGAATAAATTTAATTGGGCTTTTTATTCGTTCCCCAAGCGAATTTTGCACCTTCACTGAGGAGTAATGTTAAGGCAAAAAGAAACCTTTACGCAAGCTTCTTATTAAACATTATCTAAGTTTCCTCTAATAACGCAATGCATTGCACGATTTTCCTTACATCTTCTTCGTTGACTCAAATATTTGATGCAGTGCTTCGGTAGCCTGCTTAGCCCTTCGTTTGACTACACGAGCGGTTAAGTCTCAGCGGCTTGTAATCCCTTTAGGTAACATGGCTTTTGGGTCATGTCACGAACCTCTTAGCCTTTCTGCATGTTAGTAATGCAAGCCCTGCCTTACCAATATGTCTCCTTGCAACTCCAGGGAGGGTTTGGAGGGCTACATTGCCGATAAACTAATAATAGTAAATGTATACAAAGAACCCATGCTAGTTCACCCCTAAAAAAGACAGTACTACTAAAATAACAAAATGTGTTGTGCGGGCAGACCAGTAATTCAAGAAAGAATTCAGGACAGCTCTCTTAAAGGAGGAGTAAGGGTGGTAGCTGGTACCAACCTCACATTGTTTAATGTCTTAGCATAAACCCATTTATAAAGCAAAATATTGTTTTTAGTTTTGCTCACATCTTCTGACATTGCTTAAGGAAATTCTAAAACTACTCGCATTCGTTATTCACAAGTTTCGAATTTTGAAATGAATTGATGGTGAAGTGTTTACTCAGTTACAAGGTTAAAATTTTATGGATTTTTAAATTTTGTTACAAAATAGCCTTTGGTTATTGCTGCAAAGCATATTTGTACATTTAAGGAAGACTTTTAATTCACCAATGTGTACACAGTCATAGCTTGGCTCAATTTCAAGATACGGGTACATACAGTTGCCATGTGCATATGCTCCAAATTCATGTGAGAACATTTATTATTTGGCAGTTTAATGCTCCAAATAGAGATCTATCCCACCCACGTTCGTGACCTTTTCGTCAGTTTCCATGATAATAATGGGCCTTCGCTACTGTTGGTGCGAAATTTTTAGGCCATGGGGAATGACGCGATCAATGCTGTACGTTTTGCAGTACCAACATGAAATTTCTGCTTTACTTCTTCTTTCATCCCTCAGCTCCTGAATTTCAGGCGATTTGTGATTACATTTTCAAAAGAAGTTTTGAGTCTTTCGTCTCCTTCATTGTGGAAAAAGCCTAAATATTAAATAACCTATTTATGGTTAGGAACATAATCTTTTCCAGCCGTAAGTTGTTGTAATTTAGCAGGCTGGGTAACTTCTTTAAAGTTCTTGACCTTTACATCCTCAAGGCTTTGGAATTAGTAAATTTTTTAACTAATAAGTCTGTAAAAGTACAAAAGGCACAGCTCCCACCTCCTGCCCTTTTTACAGTTACTACCTTCCTCCAGACTGGAGAATACCTTATACTTCTACCACTGTAAAGCCAATTTACTTATTCCAATCTAAGTCAGAAAGGGACGCTTGATGCGCCACGTTGACAGACTTCCCGTCTGAAACTAGTAAAGTAATCCTCGAATTTACCCACTGTCGCGGGAATATTTTAGTATCCTTAGGCTCTCACTTTGCTACAAGTGCCTGGTGAAGATTATGCCTATATGAAGTGCAGATGAGCTTATGTACGATGAGAGATTCTGATCATCAGACCCACCTCATTGAGTCTGTATTATGATTATATTTTAGGGCCGAAACGATCGCAAAGGCGCCGCAACATTCCTCCAGAAAGGCAAATATCTCTAGTGACATGACTTCCCGTCTTTTCTATCTCACTCTTACGATAACTTATCTATGAGTAGATTAGTATTTTTGACATGAAACCATTCTTCCAAAATGCCTACACTTTCAAGGATTTCTTTCCACTTTAGTGGAAGACTATTTAGACACTCAAATCGTTGAAATGTTTTATCCTATTTTAATTCTTCTCCTTTTACTATTGATTAAAGTTCTAGTACGATAATACCAAATAGTGACTTAAACAGCCTTAAATACATTTGGGCTGCGTTGACTTTTTGAAGCTGGAGAATGTGCCCGCCAGTGATAAACTGGGCTGTGTGGGTTCCATTTTCACCTAATTTAGGAGGGTTTTGTGGAAAATTTTGGGCAACTTATCGAACTTTTCACCTGTGACACCTAATCAACGCCAAACCTGTAGTAAGAGTAAACGCGTGGAGAATCTCCCCTTGAGAATGTTGAACACATCACTCATTTACGAACATTTAAAGCGCAGGCAGCTGTAAATCAGTTAAAGATTGCACAGAGTTTAGGCATTGTCTTGACCAGTGAGACCCATATTTTCTGAATAAATTCTGCCATTCCTTAAGCAAACTTACCATTGAAACGGTGGGAGTGCACTTTTCCTACCTAGGGAGATTCACAAATAGCCTAGCTATATGGACACCAGATAATTGCTAAGATTAGTGACCAAATGCAACAGCTGACATCCCCATCGTAAGTTTAAGGCATGAAATTGCGGCTAGACCTAGACATTGCCTTGTCACAGAGGCAGTTGTGCAGAAGTAGGAGGAAGTGAGGCATTGAATGCCGTAGTTGTTCAGGAGAACTAAATTAGGCAAAAATGTAACGAAACCACATACTGTGAATAAAGGAACAGTAAACGATGAAGCAGATGATATAGACAAAAGCAAAGTATCGAAGCTTTTGTGCAAATTACCAGGACAACATAAGACTCCCAACAAACTTCCTTCCTTTTAACACTGAACTTGTCTGTTTTTAGGGAGTCGTAGCGATAAAGTTTTCTTTTTTAGTAGCTGTGGTTTAGTTGTGTCATCCGCAATACCAATGGCGAGGTTGTTTACTTCGTCGATTTGGTTTTCATTGACTCCTGTATGTCCAACAGAAGCTCAGTCTAGAATGCCACCGAAGTAATCGCCTTTTCTGTATCAATCAATTAAACACTGGCAATGAGAAGTGCAAGATAAAAAAAAACAGGCAATGGTGAATCGTGGTGCCTCTACAAGAGTGCTTATGGATAATTTGATCATCGTGGTCTCCTGGTAACGTAGTCAATGGTGTTAATTTATTTTAGCAACAATTACTCATTTACAAATAACTTAAAAGAAAAACTAAACTTCTTATAAAGCGTTTCAGATATTTGTGCTTTTAGCTACTTAATGGACCACCAAGTTTTAATACGTTTATTCGAATCGCTCCATGAAGCGGCTTATTTAGAAACTAGATCAATGTGTAATGAACCAATCAGGTGGGGGCATCCTCTCTAACGTTGTAGTGAGCCGTTATTTCGTCGGATCCCGGATAAAAGTGTTATATGTCAACTTGTAGCAAGCTATCTGAGTAAATTCTACCTTAGGATTATTTAAGGAACGTTTCCCACGCTACTATAACGGCAAAAGCGATAGACAAGTTCGTTTGGCAATCCTCCAAGGAACCTTAGAAACTTAGAAAAATACTGTAATCTAGCACAATTCTAAGGTCATTTGTGGGCTTTGTTTGTGCGTTGGGGACAAGACATGTTTCTTTACCGGTGAAACCTTTCTTCAGTTTAGTTTGCTGCTCTAATACTCTCTGGAGGTGTTCATGTCGCGCCGGGACTTCCCTAGTTAACGGAATAAATAAACAAACAGTAGGCTGTAAAATCGAATTTTTTACCAAGGATTTTGGACACACTTATTGGAAGCTCGTCTATGAGCTCGATTACTACCTAGGTAGCTTCTCTGTAGACAGGCTTGCTAGCACACGGCCTTCACCTTTTGTGTGATGGCCAAAATGCAAGTTTTACTTTAGACCAGGTTTTTAACGTTGTAATTGTTTTCAATGGTTACGTTGCGTTCGTCAAACTTTTGGATGAATTAACTCTTAAGGGCAGGACTGTTCTTCGCCTGTCTATCCTTAATTTATCAGCCCCATTAGGGGCATGTCCAAATGGCACCTCGGCGTGGGTGTGGAATTACCGTGGCATTTTCATCATTTCTAAATCACTTTATTTGAGTCTTACTGTCTGGATATCGTCGTACGGATTGTGAGCAGCTGCCATTCAAGATCTTTTAAGTGTTGGATAAACTTTGTTTAACTTATCGATAGATAGCCAGTGTCCGGGAGAAAAGCAGACCAATTATTATTATTAGATCAGACAAAATTTTCCAAATCAAATGCCTTTGTAATTTTGTAATTTCGTTACGTAATATTTTATCTGGAGGAAGGGAGTGAGGAGGGAAAACTACATAATTTCTTCACTCTAGCAAAACAAACTCTAGCTTTCTGTCTTATTTAGGTCAAGGGATCTGCAACCGTGTCCCATTCGACAGATTTACTCGGGCACGAGGAAAAAAGCCAAAAGAAACTGATTGCGGCGTCACATGTATTGAGGAAGTGCGGGGGCGTGGATGCGATTGGACGGGTAACGCCACTGTGCAGACACCAAGAGGTCACACAAGTTGGTCAAACTCCTTCGGCTTGTCAGCACTTAGCTTGCATTTCTTCATCCGATCAAGCATGACTTGCTCCTTGTCCATGAAATGATTCTGCAGCTCCACACAATGCTCCGGTTGTCCACTGCTTGCCGCCATGCTCGGCACTTCCTCTTCTGCCTTTGCGGGGGGTGCTTTTGGTGGCTCCCTGACTCGATTGCCCTGGCCTCTCTTGCAAGCCTCGATGCACTCTATGAGGACAGCCAGTATGAGTATCAGTAGAAGGTAACCTCGCAATGTCATTTGGAGTGGGCTCTGAAAGGTCAAAAGGTTACTACTCAGACCAGCCAAGCAAATTACAGGCATTTTAGGTAAGCATTGTCTGAGGAATGGTAGGAACCACACTTCTAACGTGCAGAGCTTGTAAATCCTAATTTACCATGCATTTATATCCGATTGGCACCATGAGAGGATCCATCGAGAAGGGCGAAAGGGCCTCCGGTCTTTGGAGATTGATACATTGCTAGTGGTCTTGCTAAGTAATTCGATAAGTTGTAGCGAAATAAACGCACAATTCGGAGGCAGTTTTGTTCCTGGGGAAAAAAAGGAAGATACATTAATTGTCAGAAACGGGTAGACTTCAATCTTTTGTTCGTGGTGTACCCCATCGAGCCTTGTGGATTACATCTTCGTCTTTCTTTGTGAGCTACTTCGTCAGGATTCACTGGTCCGGTGCTGCTTAAGACAATACGAAAAATACTTCTTCCTTTTCGCTGAAAGCGTTTTGGTTCGGTGGAGAAACTAACAACTAATAACTGAGAATTTGTATCGGAACTCCCGGTAGGTACGCTACTTATTTACATCAGTAGCACCCGATATCTGCAAGCACTTTCAATATTTTACGTATTTACTTATCATAATGTCTTACAATCAGTATATTTTGACAAAGAGTTCCCTTAACCCACCCCCACAAACAAATGATTTTTTGCCAACACCTCATCGGCATCCCTGTGCAACTCAGGCGCCGCATTGACGATGGCGGGCGGTTAACCCCACCCATTTAAACAAAAGTTCTGATACCTTTTATGAGTATTATCATAAGCATTACAGATGTGTAAAAGAGGTAGTTACGGCTATGGAAACACACAAAATGAGGGTTTCTGACCCTGCACAAAATCTGCGAGACCTTAAGGTCACGCCCCAAAGCAAAGGGACAACCTGTGGAGGTTGGGGTGTTTGGAAGGTGCATCAAGTCACCCCGTTTGCATACGGAATCTACTCGTCGTGACAAATTCATTTTCTGGAAAGTTTATCTATGATTTTTGGAGGTAAGGTGCATTACTACAATAGTTTGTTTAACTTAAGCCTTCACAGACTGCACTTCCGCTCGACTGCATGACCTCCGGACCGAGCCAATAGCCTCTCACCTCTCACCTCTTCTGTTGTACTACTGTAACCTCTTACGACTTCAAAGAAGATTAGCGACAGGATAATCATGCTAAGAAACGGGAGGTAATCATTCGTTCCATCAACTACGGATATCTTTGAAAAGAATATTACTAAAGATTATTTAAGGAGGTCTTGTTTTACACCATTTTGATGTGACAAGATTAAAAGAACCATTGGGTTAGTTTTAATTGGTTGGTGGTTTGTCCACAGGCGGTATTTAACGAGCAGCCGTGAACACCTCCTACTAGGTGTCAAGTGATGACACACCACGCTCTCTTCGTCTTTCTTACCGTACTTTTTGTGATTTGTATGCAGTACACTTTGGCCGCTAAGGTGGGAGACGGTGACTGTGCGGATATAGAGATGGAGGTGACAAAAACCATCCTTCAATACCTGGCGATTGAGAAAGCCTGCTCTAGCCCAGACATTCAACGTTATAGTCGGCCATAAGCCTGTTTGGCTGTGGGCTTGCGAAATCCTTTTTCCCACCCCATTAGCAAATACACACTATTTGGGAATTGTGCTTGTATTCAGTAGGTACAAATGGCAAGCCGTAACTTGGACAAATAGGCCTGAAGAAGTGAATTGGCACCACTTCAATTTAAATCACCTCAGTGGGTTTTGGTCTATGGTTGGACATAGTTTAGTGGGAGTGGATGTACAGTAAAATCAGTGAAATATAGTTTAGCTGACTGAGTAAATTTGTGAATGAATCAATTTATATCATGTGTCCACGGGTAGTAAGAGAAGGAAGCATAAAGCAAGTAAGTCTACGCGTTAAAACGTATTTCAGGGCAAAGGAAATATCTGGTGACCAATAGTTTGTGCATTTCTTGAAATGGTTTGCTAAAGTGACTTAAGGTAACTATTAGGGCTTTGATTTGGCTGAATGGTATTTGGGGAAGGTGAGGTGTGCACAACGCCCAGAAGTGGTTTGAGCCACTTACTCAATTCAAACGCAGATCACCACTGCACGAATGTGTAGAGTTTGGAAGGTCAGGAATGGGAGGCAATTAAATGTCGTTTGTGGCACAGTGATTTATGACTGAAATGTAAAACCAGCTTGCAGTGACACACCAACAAACACCGGTATAGCAAGGCTAAGAAGGCTACCCCAAGCGCATAAGCACCACAAGCATTAACTGACAGCAAAGAAAATTGAGGGTTTTCAGCTTAATTTAAACTCCCTTTACCTTATAAAATGCGTAGTTGAGGAAGAATTGACTGCTGACTGAGATGTGCCAAGGAGTGCTTCCTCTAGTTCAGTGTTGGATAATACGAACTAACATAGCACTGATTAATCGCACAGTTCCCGCTCCAGTCACTACTTAGCCCGAGTGCCTACGACTTTTATCATTTCATCGCCAAAAACGAATGGTCCTTCAGTGAGTGAGATGGGATGCGGTCGTGTCAATCCACTTTAAATATTAAAAATACAGAGCAAATTTATCAATCCACCTACCCTACTATTCGATATGATACATTCTAAGTGAGTTCAAGAATAGTTTATCAAGAGGAAACTATGACAATAGGAAACCGCATACCTCGAATATAAGGAATAGAGGAATAGATTAAAGGTCAATCACTTTTTAAAATTTCCCCAACCAATATTTTTGCAAAGTAAATACTGTCATCTTATACCGGTATTGAACCGTCGTACGTAAAGCAAGTAGTCGGAGAACTAATGAGGATGAAAAAAGAATTTGCCGGATTTTCCAACTTCCGGAGGCAAACACATCGAAAAAGTAAAATCCGCAAGCATTCGAATCAGCAGAAGAGTACAACGCAAACCAATAGTGGTCATTTTAGTAGATTGTCCAACAATCATTCGCTTTCCGTTTCACAAAAGTGCATAAACATTATTGGTTACCTTTTATTGGCAAAATGGTTACATAACCAAAAGATTTTTATCTTCAAGCATATAAATCCCTAAATTTATGGCAAAAAACAGTGCTCAGTGCAATTTAATGATCTGAAAGATTGTCACTTGCACATTTTGTTCTAAAAATTCGCACAAAGCACAAAAACTTTAGACATGTGAGAAATGGACCCGCAACGAAAACATCCACCTTTGCGGATTAGACTTTGAAAACAACTTTCCACAATACAAAAAGTGCTCCATATCACTATGCAGATAGAGTTGTGTAGATGCTGCTTAGATTTTAGTCATTCGGACCGCGCATCCGCTATAACGAGAAAACAATTTTCGCTCCTATAGTTAAATGTTTCTCATCAAAAACATTAAAAAGGCAGGCATTTTTTCAGGCATATACAAAAATGTAAAAATGGAGCCTTAAGATGTGGCTCATTTTCGCATGCAAATTTTGAGCTGCGTCGACGTTGCATGCATTTTGACCCCCTTCACAAAATAATGGGAATAGTGCTTTTAATATCCAAATGCCAGATCAGTTGTTTGGGCTTGATGGACATCTTCTTGATCACTAATATCCATCCCAATTAAAGGCAATTTTAAACATATTTTAGAGGCATTCTGGAAAACTGAAATTTTCTTGTCTATTGTTGCTCTAAAATCGCGGTTGTTTGAGCGTAATCTGTTAAAAATTCTTAAAAACGAGGCTTTGTTTTCGATGAGGAACATTTTGACAGACGTTCCTTTCAAGTCTGAATTCATCCGCCGGGCGACAACGCTAGATCAACCCGCAAGCTACATTCAATGAGCAGATTTTGACACCTTGTCAATATTTTATCTTGTTAATGCTCATCTTGAGGCTTGAAACTGCACCAGATTCAGTGATACCTTCTTTCACCTCTGCTCACGCACCCTTGGAAAGAGCAAGATGTGAGCATCTTTTACTGAATAGGGTCGTAAAATTGGTACTAGGAGTCGTGGTCATACGGTCTTGGGGTTCGTTTTCTCCTCAATGGCCGAGGGCGACAGCCCAGTCACGAGATTCCCCTCTCCAAAAGTGGTGCATTCAAACAAATGTTTATTGCACTGACATTCTTGTAAATTATTTCTCCAAGTAAGTTTGCAATATTTCCTTTTTATTTTGGTACAAGAAATCCGCAGTTACACTGAACTTGAAGGCACCCATTGGACAATACTGTCCATCAAAGTCGTATAAATAAAGTGCTTAGCAGATGAATTAGGGTAGCAACACCAGACAAAAGTAAACCGCTTTCCAGAATTGCATCTTTTTCCCCAAAAATTTGACCTAAGCTCTGTTTATTTATGCAGTCTTGGTATTTTTAGAAAAATTCAAAAATGTCAAACCTACTTCACAAATTAGCTAGCTTTGATGAGATAGCGAAGCCAAAAATCAACTTTTGCAATTAATATGTACTTAAATGTCTTCAATTTTGTTCTATAATTTCAGTAATCCCTCAGAATGTCTCCACGAGGCTGTCTGCTGCTACTGATGTTGGTTGTCATTTTGGGCATTTCCATCCAGTGGACTGAGGCCCAAGGACACCGCTCAGACGGTCAAGCAGAAGAATTTGCAGTTGCCAAGGAAATGGAAGAAGAGGATGACGATGATGAAGGGGAAGATTATGACGATGATGATGAGGAGGAGGAGAAAGAGGTGGTTGCGAATCGGGAATCAAAGCTGTTGAAACATTGCCTTAACTTGCAGAATGCTTTGAAGGAAAAGATGGAGTCGGTGGTCAATCAAATGAAGGACTGCAGCAAGATACTCGCACTGGCCTGAAGACTGGTTGTGCTGTAAAAGTGCTATCGCCTACCCACTAAATGCAGTCTACCTTTCCACTCGGTTGCTTCCCATTTGTAAGGGTCGTGTTTTAATGAAAATGATTTGGAGGGGTAAACTGATGTTTACTTAAATCTTGCCTAAAAAGTTAGTCAACTCTCATTTAAGATATGCTTGATGATAAAATATGTCACTGTCATTTTATCTGCGAAAACAAACATGGGGCAAAGGGGCTGGCTACGATACAGCTTAGAGTTGGATTTGGGAGAGGAGATACTGTCTTCCTCTCTCTCCCTCCATCCCTTCTTTGAAGGGGACAGGAGGTCGTCTCAAGGGTAATGCTTGAGGTGTGAGGCCCAGCAGTGTCTTACAACAATAAGGCGGCTTTTGATGGTGCTTTTTCAAGGAGAGTTTGACCTTGTGATCCCCCGAATTACCTTGTACCGAGTCGAGTACATGGATAGACAGACCTGAGTCTTAATAGTCTGCAGTCTATCATGTAAACTTCAAGAAGAGAATGCCCACCTGAACGCACCGCATTTGTGCCTGGGTGATTCGTCGGTAAGAGAGAAAAAAAACGCTTTCAATCTGATCGTTAGTCTGTGATCGTACAATGCACCACTTTAAATACGAAACAGTGTAAGGAGCTTGACGAGCAGCTCTGTTCCCTAGCTCCGTCATTCAATGGCAAGAGACCTCAAGCTCTATGGAAAAGGAAGTTGCCTCAGTGAATTGCATTAGAAACCATCCAAATTTTCCGTTACTACCTCAAAATTTATCAGCGATATCGGTTTGAATAAGAGTTAAAGCATCTAACTAATCCAAAAAAAGCACTTTTGTCCCTGTAGCCTAGGAAACGGGTATTTAATTCCAATTCGTTGCTCCAGTTGCCCCTGGTAACCTTTGAAATGTCTATAATTACCAAAAAAGGGCTTTTTATGAGTACCAGTAACTCCGCGTACGCGAGATTTAAAAGACTTGCTGGCGGTATAGAAGGTTGAAAGAAATTGCGGTGGCCAAAGAGCCTAAGCTGTTGAATAGGCAAGCAATAGAAGCGCTGTTCTCGCCCACACAAACACGGATGAATGAGAGGAAGCGTTAAAAATAAGTAAAAATACTGAGAAGTCCAAACGAAAAATGATGTAAAGTTGAAAAAAAAGTTGTGGGGGTAGAACCATCTCTTCCCACACATGGGTGGATAAAGTTGATTTAAATCTGCAAAAGAATCATTCAAAGGACGCGTCGCCTTGGATTATGAGGTAGTCGTGTCGAAAACCTCCAGCAGTTGCGATTTCGACTCGCGGACCTCCTCGATTACCTCCTCCAAAGAATGTAACGACTACACACGAGCTCACCCTCGGAATTGGGACCTCTTATTAACGACAATCCTCTGACAAAGATCTCGCCGCGCAAAGAGGCGACAGAATGTAGCCACTCCACCGCTCTCTTACAATGTGCGGCCAATAGAGTTACCTACTTTGAGGGAGGTCAGTACACCTTGCAACAGCTTTACTTCCCAGTCGATAAATTCTTATCTATTCTTACATTGTTCATGCCCGCTTGGGCTTTATTTCGATACAAGATACACTTTGCCTGCATACTTGGTCTCAAAAGGCAACTTACATCGAATACTACATGGTGTTACATCCAACCAATTGGCCTAATCCCGATTGGTTTATATCAGGTTCGCCTGAGGTAACATAAGGGTCTCTGAGCACATCCCTTTCCTCAAAAAAGTCATACGTAAGTCTTTGACATTGTGTTCTATGTTAATTTGCTTTTTATTCATCCACTGTTAAGTAAAATAAAATATTAATGATAAGTTTGAATTGTGCTACTTTTACTGATGATAAGTAGCTGATAGAACAGCCCGTGGTTCCATTTTTGGTAGAGGTATCACAATGAACTGTCAACTGACCTTCATCGTCACCGCAGTCCTAGCCGTCAGTGCTTACTGGATAAGTGCAGAGAAGGTGGATATGGCAGCGACACCTACAACCGCGAATTGGATGCTGCAGGTGCCCAAGTCGTCGGCATGGTGGTTGCAACAAAAGCAATGCAGGCTCTTGCAGAGAGTATTTTTTGACGGGCTGCTACACTACCTAGCCGTTGACGATGCCTGTAAGTCGCTTAAGAAGACGATGAAGATTAAGGCGGCGAGGCAGTAGGGTCATTCTCTCAGTACGCCTTCAGTCCTTTCCACCCTTTCCACTATCATGTTTGAAGGGTTCGTTACCTGTAACATTACTAGCCAAACAATATTACTTGTTAAATACACCGCGAATAACAAAAGTTTAAACTCAAAGTGGTCCCATACAGCTTTTGTAATGATTTCCAATCACAACTATCGGGCAGGGCTTTCTGGATTAGAATAAATCAGTGCTACAGGTCATGTTAACAACCCCACAAACTTTTCGTTATCTAAGCAACAATGTAATCTACTTGAGAATGGGAATTTGTATTTGGTCAGGGGATACTTTAAAGTCCAGACGATTTAAGT